CTATCCTTCCCCGAAGCTAAGTGATCCAAAGTTTCCTTTAAATTTATTTGTTTTGAACGATATAGTTTCTTCATTTTCAGTGCATGTTTACTTTAACCTACATACATACATTAAATGTAGGCCCTTTATCAGGGCAATCCCAGTTGGGAAGACAGAGAAAATTTAAAGGGATTTTCGTCCCCCAACCCCTTCGGGGAGCATAGCATACGGCCCCTGACGAGATGTTTGCATGTCTCTTCGATTGTGATAGTGTGGTACCGATCTTTTTACTCACGAGTATCACAATTTATCAAGTTTGTTTTCCGGACTAGTTTTCAATTGCTTGTTTCGGTACAATTTTTGTCCGTTACATTTCGAATGTTGACGACTGAATGCAACCTTTAGATCTGTTACCGAAAGACCGTACGAATGCGAGGAGTGCGGTACTGATTTCACTCCTTCTTGGAAGGCAATTGGCACGTCTTCCACGGACATGCATCTTTATTGCGAACAGTGTGTACGCACAGCTCAAAAACGCAAGATTCGAACGGATCATTCTAATGTGTTGAAGAAGGCATATAACAAGATAAACAGTCAAGAAAAGGTCAGCTCTTCATGGAAGTTTTCGTTTTAGACAATCATGTGAGGTTTCGTACCGAGTTATTCATTCAAGTTTTGACCCGACTCTTTTTTAAAGAGATGTAGTTAGAACAATGAAAGGATGCTATGAACTGCTTCACTACGAATCACCTCATCCGTATATTTTTACAGGAGTTCGAAAAACAAATAGCAGATGGCAAGCTGGAGGCTGCACTCGCTGCGGCCGCGCAGGCGCATGCAGCAGCCGCCGCTGCAGCGGCGGCCTCGTCAAGTGCCGCTGCCTCGACTAGTCAAGCTCAGAACTTGAGCACCAAACCTAATCCTTTACAAGGAACCCCTCAACGCAGTGGAACCAGCACTCCAACAGTGCGAAAGGCAGCGACCCCGGTAAATTATTATTCAGTTCTCCTTATTTTGCTGATACACTTTTTCCTTTCGCAATATCTGTGTCGTGTATTATTGCATTCGCTTAAGGTCCCACCCTCTACGACTCCACTTCCAAAAGTTAATGCCGCATCTTCATCTTCGACATCAAACCCTCCTTCTCTTAAGAAATCGAGTAGCGCTCCAGGGTTGAATATGGTAGGTACTAATTACTTTCAGTCTTTCTCCTCTTGAAAGTCTTTAACAAAGATTGCTCGCTAGTCAAAATCGTGTTTAACAATTTTCTTCTACCTCTATATATTTTCCGAATTCATTGACATTAGCGGTGGTGTTCCCACTTTTTCACTTAAACATATTCAATATCAAAGCTTTTCTTGAAAGAATGTGGCGTAACTTTCCCAAGGTAAAGCTATTCC